CGGGTTCGGAAGGTACCATGCCAGCTCTCCGCCTCGCTCGCTCCTCGCTCCAGACACACGCCCGCACGCCCCTCTCCCTGCACGCCTGGGAAATCCGGGGAGTTTCTATCCGTCCCCCCCTCCTGTCGCTCTCTGTGTCGGTGCATCTGTTTGCCGCTTGTTTACTCAGCAAATTCTCCCCAGCGCCACCTCCGTGCCCCGTTTGGAGACGGGGGACAGGGAAGTCCAGCGCTCGGTCCCGCAAACCGGGCCGCCAGCTCGGCCGCGAGAGTGAGGACCAGCCACGCGGCTGTCACTCGAGCGTCCACGGGCAGAGCCGGGGGAGCCCCGAGGAGGGAGAGGCGACTTCCAGGGGGTTAACAGGGTGGTGAGAGCTGCTTCGCTCTGTCGTTGCTGCCGGGGGCCTGGCAGTCTTTTCAGGTTCTTTTTGGACGGGAAAGTCGAGTCTCAGAGGGGGGAGCGGTGAGATGCCCGAGGTCGCACAGCTGGGAATCCTGGTTCACCGGGCTCCAGGGCTCGTGCTCCTGCTACTTCTTCTCTCGTGACATTTGGTTCCTCTTTCCTCACAGCACTTGTGCTCTGTGTGTGTGTGTGTGTGAGAGAGAGAGAGACAGACAGACAGACAGACAGACTGAGAGAGACAGAGAGAGAGAGACAGAGAGAGAGAGGAGAGAAAAAGGGAGAGAGAGATTTAACATTCATTTCTGTCATAGACTAGAGCCATACACGGGCAGGATGAGTGAGTGGTTGGGTGAATGTTTGGATGAATGGCAGACGGGTAGATGAAGGGATAGATAAGTGGATGGATGGATGGGTGGATGGATGGATGGGTGAGGGGTGGGTGGATGGATACGGATAATAGAGAGAGGCATAGCAGACATTATGCCACCAAAACTGAAGGGTCTCAACTGCCACAGAAGCGTTCAAGGCTGAGGAGGGAGAGCAGGAAAAGGCAAAGACATGAGGAAACGCCAAGCGTATGGCAGAAGCCTTTCCCGTCAGCCGGGGAGTAGAACAGGACTCAGAGATGAGAACGGAGAGCTTGGGCAGATGGGTGTTCAGGCTCGAGGCGGAGGGAGGGACGCAGGGAGGGGGACTGACACCTTCTTACTGGGGACCCGTCGGGACAATTTCAAAGTGGCACTCCCCGCTCTGAGGGCGCCCTTACTAAAGCCCAACTCCAAGGCGCGTCCTTGTTGCTGCCTCCCTGCCCATCCGGCGGGCTGCTGGGGAGGAGCGGGAATGGCAGATGGGCCACTTGCCCTGCTCACCCACCCAGGGCCTTCAGGGCGACAGCCCAGTCCATTACAGACTGTCGAGTGTCCCAGGGAGATAGAGAGGCCCCAGAGGGATGGCGTTTGTGGCGTTGGCCCGGCAGGAGTTCTGAGGACTTCCAGGGGTGGAAGACACCACGGGGATTGTCATTCTAGAGACGACACGCGTCACGGACTGTCATCTCTTGCCCAGGTCTGATGGTGTGCCATGTCCCCACCACTGGGGTCCTAGTCAGTCTCAAAAATCCATGCAGATGAACCCGTGGGGACGTTTAACCTCTCTTCTCTTGACACACCCCCCCCAGGACCAGACCAGAGTGCTGAGAGCCGGACTCAGCCGGAGGAGAAATGAGTGACCCTCAGCCTCTGCAGGAGGTGGGCCGGGTGCAGGCCGAGGGGAGGGAGAGCCTGCCGGGAGAAGGGGAGCTGCGGATCTTGACATTTTGGAAAGAATGGCGGTGCTACGACGCTCATCGCGATCATTCGATTAAGATGCTGCTGGCCGGGCGCGGCGGCTCACGCCTGTCATCCCAGCACTCTGGGAGGCCGAGGCAGGAGGATCGCTCAAGGTCAGGAGTTCAAAACCAGCCTGAGCAAGAGCGAGACCCCATCTCTACTATAAATAGAAAGAAATTAATTGGCCAACTAATATATAGAGAAAAAAGAGCCGGGCATGGTGGCGCATGCCTCGAGTCCCAGCTACTCGGGAGGCTGAGGCAGGAGGAATCGCTTGGGCACAGGAGTGTGAGGTTGCTGTGAGCGAGGCTGACGCCACGGCACTCACTCTAGCCCGGCGACACAGTGAGACCTGTCTCAAAAATTCGGAGACCTCTGCAAGGGAGAAGTAACGTAGGAACGCTCAGAACACTATGGATGGGGAGAGAAGGATGGGGAGAGAGACAAAGCCACCAAACGTGGCAACCGGAAGGCATTTTCAAAATCACGCACGCTCCTCGTCTGTATTTGGAAACCGAGGCTCAGATAGGAGCAGTAACTTGCCCATGTTCACGCTGGGCTGGAACAGAGCCGGCCCCCAGGCCGGGTTGCTAGATTTGGTGAGTAAAAATAAAGGATGCCCGATTAGGTGTGAATTTCCACCGACAACACATAGTTTTGTAGCGTAAGTATAGCCCGCACCATATTTGGGACATACTTATACTGAAAAGGTATGTGGTTTTCATTTGAATTTTTTTTTTTTCCAAGAGACAGGGTCTCACTCTGTCACCCAAGCCGGAGTGCAGTGGCACCACCATAGCCTTGAACTCGTGGACTCAAGTGATTCTTGTGTCTCAGCCTCCAGAGTAGCTGGGAACTGCAAGCACACGCCGCCACTCCCGGCTACATTGTGTATTTATTTATTTACTGTAGAGACGGGGTCTCTCTACGTTGCCCAGGCTGGTCTCAAACTCCTGGCCTCAAGCGATCCTCCCGCCCCGGCCTCCCGAAGCTCTGGGGTGACGGGCGCGAGCCGGCGCGCCCGGCCGTCTCTGGGCGTAGCTGGGCATCCTGTATCTTGCCCGGCAGCGCCAACCCAGGGCCCCTTTGGCTGCCGCTGCTTCTCCTCAAACCTCCGCGTGTTTTGTCCCCCGGGTTCAGGAGGCCTACGACATGTCGGGGGCCCGCCTGGCCCTGACGCTGTGCGTCACCAAAGCCCGGGAAGGCTCGGAGGCCGACCTGCGCGCCCTGGAGCGCATGTTCCGGCAGCTGCGGTTCCGAGAGACATGAAAGGGACCCCACGGCGCAGGCAGGCGGCGGCCCCGCGGGCGGGCGGGGCGTGGGGCGGCGGCGGGCTCGGGGCGCCGGCTGACCTCCGGCCTCCGTCCCCTCGCGCCAGCAATTCCAGGAGGAGCTGGACAGGTTCCGGCAGGCCATGGACGGCCGGGACGGCCCCGTGAGCTGCGCCTTCGTGGTGCTCATGGCGCACGGGTACGAAGGCTTCCTCAAGGGGCAGGACGGGCGCATGGTGGAGCTGGACGGGCTCTTCCAGGCCCTGAACAACAGGAACTGCCGCGCCCTGCGCGCCAAGCCCAAGGTCTACATCATCCAGGCCTGCCGAGGAGGTGCGCACCCCGGGCGCCGCGGCCGCCTAGGCCACGCGGGACAGACCCACCGCCCGGCGGCCGGCCGCGCCCCAGACCACCCTCTCCCCCTCCTCTCCTCTCCCTCCCCTCCTCTTCCTACTCCCCTCTCTCTCCTCTCTCTCCCCTCCCTCCTGCTTCCTCTCCCCTCCTATCTCTTCTCCTCCGCCCTCCAATCCCTCCTTCTCTCTCCTCCCCTCCTCTCTCCCTCCCGCCTCCTCCCCTCTCTCCCTCCCCTCCTCTCTCCTCTCCTCTCCCTCTCCATTCCTCGTCTCGCTCCTCCTCCATCTCCTCTCCCCATCCTCTCCTCTCGCTCTCCCTTCTCCCTCCCCTCCTCTCCTCCTTCCCGCTCCCCCCTCTCTCCTCCTCTCTCCTCCCCTCCCTCCCTCTCTCTCCTCCTCTCCTCTCTCTCTCTCTCTCCCACTCCTCTCTCCCTCCTCTCTCTCCTCTCCTACCTCCCTCATCCTCTATCTCCACTCCTCTCCGACCACCTCCTCCTCTCCCCTCCTCTCCTCTCCCCTCTCTCTCTCTCTCCTCCCCTCCCCTCCCTCCTCTCCTCTCCTCTCCCCTCCCTCCTCTCTCCCTCTCCTCTCCCCTCCCCTCCCTGCCCTCTCTCGTCTCTCTCTTCCCCATCCTTTCCTCCTCCTCTCCTCCTCACTCCTCCTCCTCTCCCACTCTTCTCTCTCTCCCCTCCTCTCTCTCCCCCCTCCTTCCTCACCTCCTCTCCCTCCTCTCCCTCCCTCTCCTCCTCTCCTCTCCCTCCTCCTCTGCCCTCCTCTACCACTCCTCTCTCTCTCTCTCCCCTCCTCTTACCCACTCTCCTCTTCCTCTCTCTCCTCGCTCCTCCCTCCTCCTCCCTCCCTCACTCTCCTCTCCCTCTCCTCTCCCTCCTCTCCCTCCTCTCCTCTCCCTCTCTTCTCTCCCTCCCTCCCTCCCTCCCCTCCTCTCCTCCTCCTCCTCTTCTCTCCTCTCCCTCCCTCCTTCCTCCTCTCCCCTCCCCCTCCTCCCCTCCCCTCCCCTCCGCCTCTCCTCCCCTCCTCCCTCTCTCTCCCCTCCCCTCCTCCCTCCCCTCTCCCCTCCCTCCTCCTCCCTCCTCCTCTCCCCCCTCCCCTCCCTCCTCTCCCCTCCTCCCTCCCCTCCTCCCCTCCCCTCCCTCTCCCTCTCTCCCCCTCCCCCTCCCTCCCTCCTCTCCTCTCCTCTTCTTTTCTTTTCTGAGACAGGGTCTCACTCCATTGCCCAGGCTGGAGTGCAGTGCTTCATCATAGCTCTCTACAGCCTCTAACTCCTGGGCCCAAGCGATCTCGCCTGCCTCAGCCTCCTGAGTAGCTGGACTACAGGCATGCGCCACCATGCCCGGCTAATTTTCTTATTTTAGTGGAGACGGGGTCTCACTCTTCTTGCTCAGGCTGTTCTCGAACCCCCTGACCTCAAGTGATCCTCCTGCCTCGCCTCCCAGAGTCTAGGATCACCAGGCGTGAGCCACCAACGCCCAGACTAATTTTTTCTATATATTTTTAGTTGGCCAATTAATTTCTTTCTATTTTTAGTAGAGACGGGGTCTCGCTCTTGCTCAGGCTGGTCTCGAACCCTGTACCTTGAGCCATCCTCCCGCCTCGCTCCCCAGAGTGCTGAGGGGTGACAGGCGTGAGCCCCTGCGCCCGCCTATCTTTTACTTACCCTTTCTTTCTGGCTTTGCCTTTTCCTCTTGTTGGTGTTTCAGAACGGAGGGACCCGGGAGAAACCGTGGGTGGAGAGGAGATTGTGATGATCGCGGGCGAAAACTCCACACCATCCACACGTACACAGACGCCGCCCTCCACGTCTACTCCCCGTGGAGGGTACGAGCTCCCGGCCGGCTCTGCTCTTCCCTCCCGCCGCCACTGCGACCCCGAGCCCTCCCTCAAGACCGCACTTCCAGTCTCATCCTGGGTGAAAGCCCCCTGAACCCCCGTCTGTGGACCCCCAGGGTTCACTTCCTACAGACACGATGAGGACGGCTCCTGCTTCATCCAGACCCTGGTGGACGTGTTCACGGAGAGGAAGGGGCCCATCCTGGAGCTGCTGACGGAGGTGAGCGGGGGCGGGGCTCCTGGAGCCCGCAGAGTGGGCGGAGCCTCCTGCACCCCCACCCCCATCCCCCACCCCATCCCCCACCCCAGCCCACCCCCGCCAAATCCAACACGGTTCTCACGCAGACGCTAGGTGCCCGTCCGCCCACAGCAGCTCTGTCTAATGCAGGAAGTCACAAAGCCCACGGGATGGGACGTAGTTTATTTTTATTTTATTTTATTTTATTTTTGAGACAGAGTCTCGCTGTGTTGCCCAGGCTAGAGTGAGTGCCGTGGCGTCAGCCTCGCTCACAGCAACCTCAGACTCCTGGGCTCGAGCGATCCTCCTGCCTCAGCCTCCCGAGTAGCTGGGACTACAGGCACGCGCCACCACGCCCGGCTCATTTTTTTTCTATATATATCAGTTGGCCAATTAATTTCTTTCTATTTATAGTAGAGACGGGGTCTTGCTCTTGCTCAGGCTGGTTTCGAACTCCTGACCTCGAGCAGTCCTCCCGCCTTGGCCTCCCAGAGTGCTGGGATGAGCCTCCGCGCCCGGCCTGGGACGTAGTTTAGAACTGCAGTCCCCAAGCCCTGGGCGGTGGCTCCATACTGGTCCTACAGGCCTGTTAGGAAAACCAGGCGGCTCGTCCCCGCCCGAGTTCTACCTCCTCCCCAGCCCCCTGCCTCTGAGCCTTGCTGGGGGACCCTCCCTCTCCCCTCATTCTCTTTTCCTCGACCTCCCACTCCTACTTTTTCCCCCACCCCTGCGTCCGTGGAAAAATTGTCTTCCACAAAAGCGGTCCCTGGTGCCTAAAAGGTTGGGGACAGCTGGTTTAGACAAAGTACTGCTGGTTTGTCTATAAACAAACCCCTCAGGCCGGGCGCGGTGGCTCACACCTGCCATCCCAGCACTCTAGGAGGCCGAGGCGGGAGGATCGCTCCAGGTCAGGAGTTTGAAACCAGCCTGAGCAAAAGCGAGACCCCGTCTCTACTAAAAATAGAAAGAAATTGATTGGCCAACTAATATATATAGAGAAAAAATTAGCCGGGCATGGTGGCGCATGCCTGTAGTCCCAGCTACTCGGGAGGCTGAGGCAGGAGGATTGCTTGAGCCCAGGAGTCTGAGGTTGCTGTGATCTAGGCTGACGCCACGGCACTCACTCTAGCCCGGGCAACAGAGCAAGACTCTGTCTCAAAACAAAAACAAAACCTTGGAATTAACCAATGTTTGGGCAAAACCTTTCTTCTAATGGTTATGTGTTTTTATTGTAAATGAGAAAAAATAATGCCCAGCCAATGATCCATAGAAGCTGGGGCAGAGGAGGGGACCACAAAGGTTTCTCATCTTAGGACATGGACACCCACCTGCCCTGTTCTCTCACCCTCTCCCCATAAGCCCATTATACCGACCACCCCAGGGCCCAGTCCCCAAGCTGACCGTACCTGTCGCTGCAGGTGACTCGGCGGATGGCAGAAGCAGAAGTGCTTCAGGAAGGGAAGGAGAGGAAAGTGAACCCCGAAATCCTGAGCACCCTCCGGAAACAGCTCTACCTGCAGTAGGAGTCGGAAGGGCAGAGGGAGGCTGTCTCCTCCAGGCGCTCTCTGCCCCACAGATATTCAGAGCAGCTCTTACCACCCTCCACGATCTTCTCTCCCCAACGCTAAACGGCAGCCCGTTCCCCTTACATCACACCCCCCCCCATGCAGGTCCTCCTTTAACCTGTCCCTGTCCTTCTCAGAGCAAACCAGCCAAAACTTAGCACAACCCACGACGGTGACATTAACATCACCTCCCTCGGGCTGAGCGCTCTACCTCTATTAATGCAACCTAAGGCTACATTCACTCATCCCACTTTCTGCTCCCGTGTTCTTATTTCTCCCAAGAAGCAAATGCTAAATAAAGCTCAATAAATTCCACTGAAAAAATAGCCAGTGCCTGCTCACTACCTCGCACCCCAACCAAACTTTCGCCGGGACTACTAAACTCGCCTCCCACTCCCGCGCCGGGGATTTGCTCGTCCAACGAGGCTAATGCCCTCTCGCCCAGCCCTGCCTCTCAGCCTTGCTGGGGGACCCTCCCTCTCCCCGCATTCTCTTTTCCCGCGACCTCCCACCCCTACTTTTTCCAGGAAAGCCACTGCAAGCAGTGTTTCCTGTCGATGCTGCCCTGTCGCCCAGGAGGCCGGAATGGCGGTTTCCGCAGGGCAGGGAGCAAGCAGGGCTTCGGTCGCCGTAGCGGGCGTGCCACGAACAATCGCTGAGCTTTGAAAGAGCAAGTTGGAATCCTCACTCCGGGCTCAGCCCAGGCGGCTGTGGCGGGAGGCGCGCAGATCGGATCTCTTCTCCCCCGCCCGGCCAGCTCCGGTGCGTCCCCCGCGACCGTGTCCGCTCTTGCGAGAACAGACGCGCTGGGAATCTGTCCCTGCCGAAGGGCCGCGTCTCCCACGGAGCCTCCGTCTCCGTGATGTTCCCCGGGGAGCCCCCCTGCTGCAGAGAGGCGGCTTTGCACAGCCATAGGGACCTTGGAGATCAGCTAGCTGTAGTGTCACAAGCACGTGGCAAGTGGGCCACCCCTCCCTGGCCCCGGTGCCGCAGAGCTAGAAACGACGATCACCGGAGCCTGTAGCCCCAGCTACTCGGGAAGCTGAGGCAGGGGCGTCGCTTGAGGCCAGGAGTTCAAGACCAGCCTGGCAACGTAGTGAGACTCCCGTCTACACACACACACACACACACACACACACACAAATTTAACAATTAGCTGAGCGTGGTGGCACGCACCTGTAGTCCCGGATACTCAGGAGGCTGAGGCAGGAGGATCGCTTGAGCTGGGGAGTTCGAGGCCACAGCGAGCTTTGATCACACCACTGCACTCCAGCCCGGACAGCACAGCGAGACCCCCATCTCAGAAAAAAATAAAATAAAAAAATAAGAATCTGAGTCTGGGAAGGGAAGGAGGGAGGGATAGATGAAGAAAAGTTGGTTAATGGGTGTGAAAACATAGCTAGAGAGAACGAATAAGTTGCAATATTGGACGGTACAGTAGGCAGATTCTAGTTAACTACGTATCGTATATTTCAAAATAGCTAGAAGATTTGTCATGATCCCAACACAAAGGAAAGATAAATGTTTGAAGCAATGGATATCCCAACTACCCTGATTTGATCATTACGCCTCGTAGGCATGTATCAGAATGTCACATGTACCCCAAAGAAATGCACAGCGATGATATGTCAGTTAGAAAAACAGAACTACCGTATGACCCAGCGATCCCTGCTGTAAGCACATACCCAAAGGAAATGAAATCGGGACCTTGTAATGGTACCTGCAACTCCCGTGATTATTGAAGCGTTATTCACAGTACCCAAAATGTGGACGAACCGAAGTGTCTGGCAACAGATGAATGGAGAAGAAAAATGTGGTGTGTCTACATGGAATTTTATTCATCTTTTTTTAAAAGAAGGAAAATATGCCATGTGCCACAACGTGGATGGACATAGGGGACAATATGGTAAGTGACATAAGCCAGACACACAAATGAAAACACAGCATGATCTCACTTGCATGTGGAATCTAAAAAAAAAAAAAAAAAAAATCAAATACACAGGTAGATAATGAAACAGTGGTTATAGGAAAGGAATGGTGGGAAGAGAAATGGAGGTTGTATCCTTGTGTAAGTCAAAGGATACAAAGTAGCAGATATGTAGGATGAAGAAGTCTAGAGATCTAATATATAATACAATATGACAGCTATGCTTATTATTGAGAATATTGTACCGGCCGGGAGCGGTGGCTCACACCTGTAATCCCGGCACTCTGAGAGGCCAAGGAGGGAGGATCGCTTGAGGTTCAGGAGTTTGAGACCAGCATGAGCGAGAACAAGACTCCGTCTCTACTAAAAGTAGAAAAAAAATCAGCCGGGCATGGTGGCGCACACCTGTAGTCCCAGCTATTAGGGAGGCTGGGGCAGGAGGATCGCTTGAGCCCAGGAGTCTGAGTCTGCAGTGAGCGAGGCTGACGCCACGGCACTCGCTCTAGCCTGGGCAACAGAGCGAGACTCTGTCTCAAAAATAAATAAATAATAAAAATAAATAAAATTATGTTTTTGGTCATGTGATTATTGATTCAAAATCTGGTTCTTCCATTTGATGCCTCCAAGACTGAAGTTCGAGTGTCTTAAGTGAGTGAGCTTTGAGGGTCATCGGTCACTGCGGTGTGACCTAACCTGAGCTGAGTGACACACCAGACAGGGTTGAAGTGGCGGAGCCAGGTTAAAGGTGCACGTCATCACTTTGGGAGGCTGAGGCAGGAGGATCACTTGAGTGAGGCCAGGAGTTCAAAACCAGCCTGGGCAACACAGAGAGACCCTGTCTGTACAAAACAAATTAATCAATTAAAACCGTGCATCATAATGGACAATGCTCTGAGGTTCCTAGAATGTACCTAGGTGTAGCCATAGGGATTTAGGAAATAAAAAATAAGAAAAAAAATTTTTTTAATGGAAAAAAAAAAGATAAAACAAAAAAATTTATAAAATTAAAAAAAAAATAGAATGTACCTAGGAAATTTACAGAATGCATGAAATGGAAACAAATTGTCAACCCAAAATAGTCAAAAAGGGGGTCGGCATCTAGTTTAAAGAGCGCTTATCCAAGTGCAAAGTTTAAGGATGAGGCAGCCAAAAATTGGAAGCACAGAGGCCAAAAGTTGGAAGTTGGTGTTCCAAAATGTAGAAGTTTTGAGATGTTTTATACAGACAGAGTTTAGGGAAGGGGGACAGAATTTTGACAACTTCCCGGGTAAGGCTTAAGGCCTCGTCACTACAATCTGATTAGTCGAGGCAGTCTTTTTCTTTGGGGTGGGGGGGCATGTTTGACATTTCACACTGAAGAGGTAAGTGGGAGATGCTTGAGTCGTCAGTGCTCTCTGGCCTGAGTCAGGTGCGGGCCGATGAAGGAGGCCGCTCATCTGTGAAAAAGCCGTCCCCGTAAGTGAGGCCTCTGGTCCGCGGCCTCTCCCGCTTGTTTATAGAACGAGAGCAACGAGCGAGAGGGTTACAATCTGGGAACCAGAACTGCACACGTGCTGTACGGCTCGGTCTCTGCGGCTTAGCTCCCCACCCGGCGTAATATAATAAATTGAGAGGGTCTTGAAATTTTCTTTTCTCTTACAAAATCCACTTCCTGGCCGGGCGTGGTGGCTCACCCCTGTAATCCTAGCATTCTGGGAGGCCGAGGAGGCGCGAGGATTGCTCGAGGTCAGGAGTTCGAAACCAGCCTGAGCAAGAGCGAGACCCGGTCTCTACTATAAATAGAAAGAAATTAATTGGCCAACTAACATATACATAGAAAAAATGAGCCGGGCATGGCGGCGCATGCCTGTAGTCCCAGCTACTCAGGAGGCTGAGGCAGGAGGATCGCTTGAGCCCAGGAGTCTGAGGTTGCTGTGAGCGAGGCTGACGCCACGGCACTCACTCTAGCCTGGGCAGCAGAGCGAGACTCCGTCTCAAAAAAGAAAAATCCACTTCCTATACCTAGGAGTCGTTTCCACTTAATCGTGCTCCAATTTCATTCACGAACAAGGAGGCACAGGCAATTTCCAAAGGCCCCCGGTTCGGCGTGAGATACAAGAGAGAGGTGTCGGGAGTTTGAGCTCGGGCAACTGGGACATGGACCGGTTCACCTACGTTCTGACCGGTCGGGTTATTTGGGAATAAAATTATTCCAGCTCTTCATGAAGTTGTTCTCACAGATGCTCAATTATAAGAAAGGAGGTCACCCTTACTCCAGCTGATTCATTAGGCCAATCACCCCACTGCATGTCCACACCCGCGGCCTCAGGGCTGTTCTCCTTAGACCCAGTGGCTCCCTGGTAGCTTCTGACAAAACAAGGCAGGAGATGGGGCAGCACACAGAGGAGCAGGACCAGAGTCTTCCTTTGTGGTTGCCCATAGCATGAGATCGTTTCAGTTTCCAACTTTTTTTATTATTTTATTTCATTTCATTTTATTTATTTTTTGAGACAGAGTCTCACTTTGTTGCCCAGCCTAGAGTGAGTGCCGTGGCGTCAGCCTCGCTCACAGCAACCTCAGACTCCTGGGCTCAGGCCATCCTCCTGCCTCAGCCTCCCGTGTAGCTGGGACTACAGGCATGCGCCACCATGCCCGGCTAATTTTTCTATATGTTTGTAGTTGGCCAATGAATTTCTTTCTATTTATAGTAGAGACGGGGTCTCGCTCTTGCTCAGGCTGGTTTTGAACCCCTGACCTCGAGCAATCTGCCCGCCTCGGCCTCCCAGAGTGCTAGGATTACAGGCGTGAGCCACTGAGCCCGGCCTATTCTTTTATTTTTTGAGACAGGGTTTCGCTCTGTCTCCCGGGCTAGAGCGAGTGCCGTGGCATCAGCCTAGCTCACAGCAACCTCCAACTCCTGGGCTCAAGCGATCCTCCTGCCTCAGCCTCCCGAGTAGCTGGGACTACAGGCATGTGCCACCGTGCCCGGCTCATTTTTTCTATATATTTTTAGTTGTCCAGATAATTTCTTTCTATTTATAGTAGAGATGGG